AACCGGCCCTGTGAGGTAGGGCCTGGGTGGGTGACGGCTCTCAGTCCCTCCTCAGCCTCTCTCTCGACATGTACTGCTGCTCATGAGAGAATGTAAGAGACCCTTCAGCTGTGTCGCCATGAGAATGTGGGCTTTAGCTCTCCTGACCAGTTGCAAAAATGATACCCTCTCTTCTTGAAATGGCCCCATACTCATCCTCCTGCTCTCGCCGAATCCAGGAATGGCCCTGCTGTTTGGGGGGAAATTTCCTTAGCTTTGTCAGCCTCCATCAGCCTTTCTCTTCCTCTTTGCTGCCACCTATGTCATACTAGGGAGTCTGGGGCTTGATGAGTTTCCTGTGAGCATCCTTCCCTATTCTCAACTGACCCACCAAGGATGCCCAACAGAGAGAGAGCCCAAGGCTAGACAGGACCAGATCCCCCAGGCCCCAGGCCACTCTGAGTGAGAAAACAGCCTTGGACTTTGGCCAAACCTGCCCCTCACCATCCAGTTCTGGTTCCAGATCCTCTGTTTACATGTTCTTTATTTCACGGACTTCCAGAAAAATCTGGATTTATGTTTATTTTGTTGCTACCACCACAGCATACATAGTAAGCAATGCTTTACCTTGAATTTTTTAAACCATCAGTAAGAACTGCCCCCCCCATAGCCCTTAAACTAAGTAATATTTGACTCAAGTCATTATTAAGTGAAACCTTAAAAATAAAAATAATACAAAGTAATTATACATGATGACTTGTTTCAGGTGAACTGAGCTTTTGAAATTAGGACACAAGTACATTTTATACACACACACACACACATATGTGTGCTGTAAGGAGTGTTAATGATTGAAATATATTGTTTTACGTCTTCTCAAGTATCTAGTGTCATGATCCCGTAGCAGACAAACAAATAAAATCTACCTTAAATAAGCTAATAATGGCAAGACAAATTCTCCTTATGTGAGCAGTGGATTTTCCCCTGCTATTTACTGGAGAAATAAATATGGAGAAAATGCCTCATAACATAAGGGTGACAAATCCATTAAAAACCCATTAGTATGACAAATAGCATTTTCCACGATAAATTGGAAATTTCCAAATATCCAAAGACATAATTTCATAGACTTCCTGTTATCTTAATGTCACCAGACATAAAATGGATTCATCTGTTCTCTCATTTCGTCCAGCATATAATTGTTGGAGTTTTCTGTGTGCCAGACACTGGCTTCAAAACTGGTCAAGCCCCATCCTCAATTCTATCATCTTCCAGTGGGGTTCCAACACGAGAGCAAATAGAGACCATCTGGGGGATATGGTACCGGTCTTGCACACAGCCAACTCTGATTCAATCCCTAGCGTGGTATCCGGTACCCCGAACACTGCCAGGAGTGATTCCCCAGCAAGCACAGAGCAAGGAGTAAGCCCAGACCACTACTAGATGTGGCCCCCAAACCAAAAGAGAAAATGAAAAAGCAAATGAAGCAGATAGGTGCAGGTGGCATGCGTGGAAGGAAGGGAAAAGAGCGCTTGTGAATCTAGGAGCAAGAAGGAGGCACACAGGCGATCCCAGAGAAGGTAAAGGGAAGGAATGAAGTCACATCAGAGGAATGTGGGTCAGGGAGGAATATGAGGTTTGAGAAACAAGAGCAAGTTCCAGAAGCTGCGAGTGGAGTAGGAGGGATGGATGTTGGGGGAAGGGCAAGTCATGGAAGGCCGTAGAAAACTTGGATCTGTGCCTGGACTCCCGACAGCAGTAGGCATCCATCAAATCATGTACACATATCTGTACTTGCCTATTTTATTTTAGTACCAGTGTTATGGTTAGATTGTATAGTTGTACTGTAGCACTGTCCTCCCGTTGTTCATCGATTTGTTCGAGTGGGCATCAGTAACGTCTCCATCGTGAGACTTGTTACTGCTTTTGGCATATCGAATACACCACGGGGAGCTTGCCAGGCTCTGCCATGCGGGCGGGATACTCTCGGGAGCTTGCCGGGCTCTCCAAGAGGGGCGGAGGAATCGAACCCAGGTCAGTTGTGTGCAAGGCAAACACCCTACCCGCTTTGCTATGTCATTAAGGACAAAAATCCTTGAGTTTCGGACCTACAGAAGCAGAGTAAAATGAGGAGTGGTGGGCTTGAGGAGGTTCTGCGAGAGCAATTCGTGTGAAAGGCTATGGTGGCTTCGGTTTGGTGAGGAGCCAAAGAGGAGATAACGCAGAAGATTAGAATAACCAGGATTTGTTCTTTTCACTACAAGAGGCTGAGAAGGCCATAAGACCTCACCTGAACACTCAGTACACCCCGGCAAGTGCCCACAAAGGCACATGCTGAAGGGGCCCCTTCTGTAACCCAGAAAACGTTGCTTAACCTCTGTTCCCCATCCTCCGCCTTCAGTGACTGTGGGACATCCCGAGAGAGGTACCAAGGCCAGGCGGCTCAGAGGGCAAGTGGGCATGCCAATCTCTGGCACTGCAGCGAGTGACTCAGCAACTTTGGGTGTGGTACCTGAGCACTGTTGGGTGTCCCTCCCCCAAGCCCCCCAAATTTGTTAGTTATAAACGCCATTAGTTTAACTCATTCACTGTACCTACTGAAACCCACCTCTGTCCCTCCCTCAAGGCTGTCATGCATTGCCGACTCGGTCTCACTTTATGTCACAGGTACACACCCCAGCAGTGCGGCCGTGTGAAAACCTTGCACCCCTACCCCCTTCTCCGAGGCTTGCAGTTCATGATACCTTCAGTGAGCTTTTCTCTTTGGGTCACACCCAAGAGTGCTCAAGATTTTCTCCTGGCTCTGCTCTTAGGGCTCACTCCTGGCAGGCTCAGGGGACATAGGTGATGCCAGGGATTGAACCCAGGTGAGCTGCAAACAAGGAAAGTAATTTCCCTGCTCTCCTCTCTCTCTGGCCCCTCTTTTTTGTTTGGGTTTTTGTTTCTCGTTGCTTGTTTTGGGGCCACACCTGGTGGTGCTCAGGCTTACTCCTGTCTCTGCTCTCAAAGATCACTCCTGGCCAGGCTCAAACACAGATGCGCGGCATACAAGGCGTTATGGGCGAGCCCTCAGCTCCTGTCAGTTTCATGCTTGTAGATTTCCAACACCGCCACCAGAGGCCGCACCTTCCTTCATATTTCCAGCTGTGCCAACCATGCAAAATATGTTCTGAACAGAAACAGTGATGAATAAAAGGGGAATTCATTTTAATCTGAAACTTTAAGACCAGGAGGTGGAAAAGTCCCAAAAGGTAAAGTGGACATGTGGGGCACAGGAGGATTTGTTCAACTCCTTGAAAAGGTGCCGGCTACAGTTGCCAGGTCCCTCTTTTGGAAAGACCACCCACCAAGACCTCTTGGCGCGTACTACACATTGCCATGGGGTTCCCTTAGACTTGAAACAGACAAGAGACGTTATTTTTAAATAACGTCTATTCTTAAAAGCTCTAGGTGAGCGTGTTGCAAACACAGGCTTGGCTTGTCTTGAAGACGACGGGACTGTGGGGCTCTGTGGCTACAGATGTGTAAATTCTGTCCAGCTCCTGGACAGTGATTGCAGGGAGTGCTGGAGGATGCCAGGTCGTGGCTACTTTGCCAGACTGAGTCTGGGACCCCTGAGATTGCAGAGTTGGGAGCGGTTATACATGGGCGCCCCCAGCTGCCTCTGTGTGGTTCTTATCACCTTGGGAAGCAAGCAGAGGGGGTGGTCCCAAGTCGAGAGCAGTGGAAACCTGACGCCTTGGAAATCGCAACATCCAAGGAGCCCGTGGAGACACATTGTTAGAAGGATGGATGGACATTGAGGTCTGTGAGTTCTGCGGGGATCCGGGAGAACGTCTCGATGAATCCTTGGGTGAGCAGTTCCTTCGACGTGGTCACCTCTTTGGCCCACTGTGCAGGTAAGGAAATTGGACACTTGGTGACCAAGCTCCTTGCTCCTCTCTGAGGAAGGGTTCGAGCCCACGCAGTTGGGTCCTGATGCAAGAAAGGAGCACGCAGTTGGGTCCTGGTGCAAGAAAGGAGCACGCAGTTGGGTCCTGGTGCAAGAAAGGAGCGCGCAGTTGGGTCCTGGTGCAAGAAAGGAGCGCGCAGTTGGGTCCTGGTGCAAGAAAGGAGCGCGCAGTTGGGTCCTGGTGCAAGAAAGGAGCGCGCAGTTGGGTCCTGGTGCAAGAAAGGAGCGCGCAGTTGGGTCCTGGTGCAAGAAAGGAGCGCGCAGTTGGGTCCTGGTGCAAGAAAGGAGCGCGCAGTTGGGTCCTGGTGCAAGAAAGGAGCGCGCAGTTGGGTCCTGGTGCAAGAAAGGAGCGCGCAGTTGGGTCCTGGTGCAAGAAAGGAGCGCGCAGTTGGGTCCTGGTGCAAGAAAGGAGCGCGCAGTTGGGTCCTGGTGCAAGAAAGGAGCGCGCAGTTGGGTCCTGGTGCAAGAAAGGAGCGCGCAGTTGGGTCCTGGTGCAAGAAAGGAGCGCGCAGTTGGGTCCTGGTGCAAGAAAGGAGCGCGCAGTTGGGTCCTGGTGCAAGAAAGGAGCGCGCAGTTGGGTCCTGGTGCAAGAAAGGAGCGCGCAGTTGGGTCCTGGTGCAAGAAAGGAGCGCGCAGTTGGGTCCTGGTGCAAGAAAGGAGCGCGCAGTTGGGTCCTGGTGCAAGAAAGGAGCACGCAGTTGGGTCCTGGTGCAAGAAAGGAGCGCGCAGTTGGGTCCTGATGCAAGAAACGAGGTGTGTGGGGGGGGGGGGGGGGGGCGGGGGGAGGCGGACGCTTTAGGTGCCCCGTGTGGCCCGCACGAGGGCGCCGTCGGCCGGTGGTGCCCAGCCCGGCCCGACCCCTGGGAGAGCCGCAGAGCGGGGCCAGGTGCTACCCGCGGGGCTGCCCGTGCAAGGCCCGGCCGCTGGGGGGTGCGGGCGGCCGCGGCTGGCACCGAGCGCTCGCGATGGGGCGGGGCGGGCGTGAGGAGGGCCCCGGGGAGGCATCAAAAGGTGGCGGGGGACCGCGCTGCGCTGGGCGGACGCTGGGCACCGCTGGGCAGCCCGCGGGATGGCCGGGAGAGCGTGGGGCGCGCCGGGCGGGACCCCTCTGCTCAACGCCTCGCAGCCCGCGCCGGGACGCGGGGAGGAGGCGCGGCCGCGACCCTCCTGGCTGGTCTCCACGCTCGCCTCCATCCTCATCTTCACCATCGTGGTGGACATCCTGGGCAACGTCCTGGTCATCCTGTCGGTGTATCGCAACAGGAAGCTGAGGAACGCAGGTAGGGGCTCCCGGAGCCGGGCAAGCAGGACCGGCAGCCCCCGACTGGTGCCCACCGCGGGCGCTCCTTGCTGGGGACCCTTGCACAAGCAACGCCCTCTGGGTTCAAGGGGCTTCTAAGAGAAGAGCGGTTCTTTTTCTTCACACACACACACACACACACACACACACACACACACACACACACTCTGTAGTCAAGTGGTTTCTCCTAAGAGAAGTGCAGTTCATTTTCTTAACACACACACACACACATACACACACTGGGGTCAAGTGGTTTGCCCTAAGAGAAGTGCAGTTCTTTTTCAACATACACACACACAGACACACACACACACACACACACACACACACACACACCCTGTAGTCAAGTGGTTTCTCCTAAGAGAAGTGCAGTTCATTTTCTTAACACACACACACACACACATACACACACTGGGGTCAAGTGGTTTGCCCTAAGAGAAGTGCAGTTCTTTTTCAACATACACACACACAGACACACACACACACACACACACACACACACACACACCCTGTAGTCAAGCGGTTTCTCCTAAGAGAAGTGCAGTTCATTTTCTTAACACACACTACACACACACACATACACACGCTGGGGTCAAGTGGTTTGCCCTAAGAGAAGTGCAGTTCTTTTTCAACACACACACACACACACACACACACACACACACACACATCCTGGAATTTCTAATAGGGACTGAAGCCACATCAATTTCATTTTCTTTTTACTTGCTCACTCAGAATTGGTTTTATTTTCATGAATCGAGGAGTTTTTTATTCCTCAGGGGCAAGAGACTTTTCTAGAGTTGGGTTCTCTTTAGGTTAGGATAAAATAAACTATCGTTTCCAATTTCTAGAATGTATTAGACCAGAGAGACACAGGATCACTGTTGGCAGAAAGCTCCTTAAGAAGTCCTTTCAACTCAGATCACTTTGACATGCGTTTCCTCGCCCCAACATTGTGAAAATATGAGCAGATTTATGACCTGGCAAGCCATAGCATAATTATTTTAGTTGGTGGTCGTTTTCAGATCTTAAGACTGCAACTTTATAAAAGAATCAGAATGTGATGATTTCTCCAAGTTAAACAAGTTTACATTTTAAAAACGGAAATTTCAGTAAAGAAAAAGGTGTATTTACATATACTCCACTACTGATCTGTAGTAGTGTTAAACTTGTTCTCCCTCCAAGCACTGCAATCGATTTTTCTGGTGTGAACACAGTTGGTCTATAGGACACCGCATACTCAAATGTCTATAGGATGGTCAGCCAGCTCTTTCTTTGTCTCCAGGAGAGCATTTGAGGGAGGGGTGGAGAAGGAAACATATATTTATATGCTTGCTAAAAACAGTGTTCGCAGTACATCATTGATAATACTTTCATTTTACAATTTGGTCTGACTCCTTTGGGGAACCTTCTGGTTTTGGGTTTTCTTATTCTGTTTGTTTCTTTTTTTTTTGTTTTGCTCTCCATAATTCTTTGGACTGGGCATAGATTAAGAATTCATTAATAAATACTTGATAATGAATTCAATTTGAGTTTGTCAATTAAATGACTTCACTTCATAGATGATTGACTTTTGACTAGAATTCCACCTTCAGAAAGAGGCTTGTTCCCAGCTAGTCTTGGGGCACTGCATTCCACAAACTGCATTCTGTGGGTCAGACACAGGTCTGAGAGGCCCAGTAACTAAAGCCTCTAATGGGGTATCACTGTGACATCTCCTTCTGTGGAGGAGAAACTGAGGGTATAGACCCGTTATAGTGACCTTAAGTGGTGGAGCAAAATTTAAGCCTCTGAAATTGCCCTAGAATTCAATTTCTTTGGTTGACTATCAGCAATTATACTTTGGAAATTGAGATTTAAAAAAAAAAGATTTTAAAGACAGTGCCCCTGCTCCATTCCTTTGTAGTTGGTTCATTTTATAAGAAACTGTCTGACAGGACAGTCTATAAAATGCTACATCCCTGCATCTGACTTGGCAGACCCACGGTGAGCGTTAATCTGCAAAGCATTTTAACTTTTATGTTTTTATAATTGAGACTTTTTATTCAGCGGTACCACTTGCAATTCAAATCAGTTGAGGTTTTCTGGAATGCACGATAATTTGAAACAATGATATAGACAGCTGATTCAAGCATGACTCTTGGAATATCCATTAAAAATTCTTATGACTGTTTAGTCCCTCCATTTTAGTAAAATATAATTTGTTGGTGTTATGGATGGGAAAAGATGGAAAAAAGAGAATAGAGGCAATGAAATAAGAATACTAGGATTTCTTAAGTTTTGAACTAGTGCACCCTTTCGAGAATTTTAGAATAGGAAGGTGATTTATGCAATCCTCCTCTTTTGACTTTTGACATTCCAGGGAAGAAATTAAAAATTGTTTAGCAGGGGTCCAGAGATGTTATAACAGAGCCACGTGGGAGCCCAGGCTCCAACCTCAGCCGCACATATGATGCCCTCCCACAAACAGCATGCAAGCACAGAACCTGGAGCAGTGCTGAGCACTGCCAAGTGTGGCCTCTAAAACAAAAAATAAAATGAATACAAAAATATTTAGCTGCATTGGGACAAGAGAAATAGTATGGGTTCAAGGCACTTGCCTTGCACATAGCCCATTTTGGTTCTATCCTGGCACAACATATGGTCCCCCAAGGATCTCCAGTAGTGATCCCTGAGCACAGAGCCAAAAGTCAGGTCTGAGCACAGCCCCAACATCCCCCCCACCTCCACCCACGCAAAAGAATGTGTATTAGACCCTAGAGTCAAATCACACTATCCTCTTTGCATCTTCTGAGGACCTGTCATAGCAGAATGAGAAGAGACCAGCTCTGGACCATTGGCGTTTCTCTCTACCATGTCAGCTGAGAGACCAGTTAAGATACACAGTCCTGGGGCCAGAGCCCAGTTCATCCTGTAGGGCCCTTGACTTGCATCTCATAGGGTTCCCCAAACACCACCGGGAGTAAATCCTGAGTGAAGAGCCAGGGGTACCCTTGAGCATCCTCAAGTGTGGCCCAAAAACAAACAAAAAGATACCCAAACCTCATTTTCTACATTTTCTACACTGAAATTATTGAATCTCTTAGACCCCCATATTTTTACAATTACCTGGTGTGAAATGCATGTGGGAAGATCTGTGAGAAGAATAAAGCAGGTAATGTTCTTTACACTTTCTCCCTGAGTACACATAGCAAAGCAATCATTGTGTATTATAAATCTATCATTGAGCTGTGGACTTATGATTTGTGCAATGTTCTCTATGTGCGTTATTTTTTTTTTGCTTTTTGGGTCACACCTGGTGATGCACAAGGGTTACCCCTGGCTCTGCACTCAGAAGTTACTCCTGGCGGTGCTCAGGGGACCATATGGGATGCTGGGAATCGAACCCGGGTCGGCCGCGTGCAAGGCAAACGCCCTACCCGCTGTGCTATCTCTCCAGCCCCATGTGCGTTATTTTTAAATGAAAATTTTGGTTAAAAAATAAAGCAAGAGCATAATAGTACCTTCTTACTCAAAATTCAATTATTTGACGGACTAGAGTAGCACCAATAAATAAGGCATGGAGAAAAATACAGGCTTTTACCCACACACAACTTGTTCTGCCTTAGAATTCCACACAACTGATGGGCTGGTTTCAAGATATTCACAGATTCTAAGTAGGAAATTAGGAGAAACGTGGATACATTTAAAGGAATATAAAGGACAGCTGCTCAAGGCTCCATGCCAGGAGTTATTCCTAGCAGTGTTGGGAGACCAGGTGGTGCTAGGGATTGAGCTTGGCTTTTCCACATGCACTAAGCCCAGTGAGCTCTCTCCACCCACTCTTAATCTTATGTATGATTACAATCAAATGTATGATTGCAAATGTATGATTGCAAATGTATAATTGAAAATGTATGATTGAAAATGTATGATTGCAATCCAGTAAGGACTGGAACTGGACTGGAACTGAAGCCAATAGAGAAGAAGTTGTTAGTCATTAATAGAATTATTTTCAACTTCGGAATGCATTATATTGGTCGCAAAGAGTCTTGCGTATCTGTAAGACTATCTGGAGTGTCACAGAGCTGAGAATGGAAAAGATGAAATAGAAACTGTATAATTAAAAGAAGTTGTTAGTCATTAATAGAATTATTTTCAACTTCGGAATGCATTATATTGGTCGCAAAGAGTCTTGCGTATCTGTAAGACTATCTGGAGTGTCACAGAGCTGAGAATGGAAAAGATGAAATAGAAACTGTATAATTATAATTAAGTTATTTAATTCACTTTAACTGGTGGAGTGTATTTCTTAAATAAAAAAAAATGGAAGTAGCATACTCTTTCTCCTCTCTGCAACATGTATACACAAACACAAACACACACACACACACAAACACATTCACACCAAAAGTGGCAATAAAGCTTCCAGCCGAGCTACCTAATAGACACATCTGCCCAGAGTCTAGCTTAATTTTTTTCTCTGAACACTTGTAAAATGGAATTAGTTCAGAGAAAATTAAAGTAATGATTTAATTATTGTAATTGCTTGGACAGAAAAGAAGCATAATTACTACAAAATAAATGAAGCAGAGGATTAAAATCATGAAGGAAATGTAGGACGTAGTTTATGATTTTGTTTTTGAGCTCTTTAAAATAAGTTTATAGTAGGTCAGTTTATCAGCATGATTTTCTGTACAAAAAAGTACTATTTTACAGCAGTTTAATTTTCACCTGAATTTTGCATAGTATGCATATTTTTAAAATATAAAAACATCTTGAGTTAAAAATTTATTAAAATGGGCCCACTTTGGAATTTAAATATTTCATTGATAATAGCAATTGGTCTGTGGAAAAATAAATTTGCTTTTATTACTTTAATTTGGGCTAGCATAACCAATTATATAAAATGTTCTTTTAATGACAGTTTATCTGAATTTCCTACCCACCTAGCAAAACCTAAACTTTTTTCGTTACGATTGCTGTTTTCTTTCACTTCTT